TAAAAAAATTAATAATACATGAGTATATAATTATTACACAAGTGTAAATACTACAACAACAATAATAGTCAATAAGATCATAATAACTGATTTTGATCTCAAATTCCCAAAATATTGTACAAACAAATTTTGTGTAACGAAAGATGGTTGTTATTGTAGTTATTCTTGACATCTTTTCGTCAATAAGAGATAAAAGAGAAGCAAGATTTGAAATGGTGGAACTGACTCGATTTCAAAAAAAATTAGTTTGTAATCTACAAAGGAAAAATAAATAGAGTCATTTACTTCAAAATGCACTAGTTGATTATATATGAGAACATTATGGATATAATTTATGAACAATGTGGTATTTTGTTTGTAGTTTAATATTTAATTAGGTATACTTTGTAAATTTTTATATTTAGTGTGACATTTTATTAGTTATTATTAATGTAATATTTTATATAGGCGATAGTTATTATAAAATTTGTATGGATTTAAATTAATCTTGAAAAATATAAGGATCATAGTATAAAATACAAATATTTTTTAAATCAAATTTGAAGTTTTTATTTGCGAAAGAAAACAACTTTAAACTTCAATTTTAAATTTCAAATATGAAATTCTGCAAACTGCAAAATATAATGGATTTTTGGAGATGTTCTTAAATATTTGCAGGCCGTGCCTTAATTGTAGAAAAAGAACTATTTGCTTAGGGAAGGACAAATAAAATAAAAATCAAGGAATCAATTAATGTAAGATCATGGGCGTAATCAGAGCATGAGTTTATAGTATAAAAGCGTTGTTGTAGTTAAATAAAAAAAAATGGATCAATACTATTAAAAGAGAAGGATTCTTAAAAAATCTACCTATGAAAGTTGTTTGGACCATTTCATTTAAGTAATAATTATTTAGTGTTACCTAATAATTTCCTAATTTTCTCTAACTATATGGTAATGTTAATACAATTACCGATTCATATACATTTAATAGTATACCACATTAATAAATACCTTTTATAAGTAGCAATCACTTATTGTTTCCATGAAATTAATATACATTTAATAGTGTAATAACACATCAATAAATACCGTTTCACATACATTCGATAGTAGATATCAAATAAATACATATCATATACAATAGTAATGATTTCTATTCCCAGCCAAGGTCTATAACTTTTGGTTTTGACTTTTTCATCTTCTCTCTACATCATTAACAAACAGCAATTAATTAATCAAACAACCTAGAACGCCTTCAAATCTCAAAATTAAAAATTAAACCAATGAACACCATAGCTTCTTCTCAAAACTATTTAACTAATTTTATACCAAATTATAACTTTAGCTAAAAGTAAACAAAAGAAATAAATAACTATTATTAAAAAATAACTTTTAATCTAAATAAAAGAAAATAGATAAATGTAAAACAGATTAACACTAATAAAAAAAAAAAATATTGAATTCTAACAATATATTTTAGTTTTGAATCACCATTTTTTCTAAATTTTCTTTAATGATATAGTAAAGTTTTCTTAAAAGTCATGGATCAAATCGTTTATTCAACTTTATCTATATTATTAAAAGAAAATCATTCTAAAAATCAACCGTGGAAATGTTGTTGGACCTACGTATAACTAATTATTATTATTTATATTACCATTAATAATTCTAACCATACAAAATTGTAAATATATTAAATGAATCCTATCACTGTTCCTTATTTCATGCGATACACTTTGTTCTCTAAATTATGTTATCGCTTAATATTATGTAGGTCTATATTAGGTTTGGGTCAGTTCTTTTGGATCTATTTTAATCGAGTCTATAACTAAACTATCTGTATTTTTTTCATAATAGGTTTGCATCAGTTTAAGTATTTAGACCAGAAAAAAAAACTCAAAATATCAGAAAACCTGAAAAATTAAAATACAAAAATCCAAAAATATTCAAATATCCAAAAATCCACAATTTTACACGAGGAACAAAAATATCCAAATTTTCATTCGAATACTCAAAATATAATCTTAAGATTTTAAAATTTTACTGAAGCCGAAATTATAACAAAAATTTTGAATCTATAAATTACAAAAATCTATAATACCAAAACATAGATCTTAAATGTCCAAATATACACAAAATATTTCAGGTCTTTGAGTATCAGGACTCGATAGAGAATTGCGGGTCAAAAAACAAAACCTAATATGTAGTTTGCTCGATTTCGAACACGTATTTTCGTGTTGGTTTCGTTTCAGTTTTTTTTTTTGGATTCATGTAAATGTATATGTCTAAGAGAGACTTACATAGGAATGTACATATAAAATCTCAAATAAAATAATTCATAAATTATGTAATTTAAAAAATTTCTTTATTCAATATAATACAGCTTTATAACCTAATAATAATATACAAAATCCCAAAATACTAATTCATAGTAAACTATGTTTATAACTCAACAAAACCCGCGCTTTCGAAGCGCGGGTCAAAATCTAGTTTATGATTAAAAAAGCATGGTTTCTGAAGTTACTAAATTTAGATAATTGTTAATTACTAATTAATTGGATTAATTAAGTCCTTGAAGGCAATAGTTTTGGATATACATATTTTTTAAAGCTAATTTGCTAAAATTTTACTTTAGTGTAAATATAACATAAGAAAATTGAATACTTAACTATCTTATCTAAAAATTAATTATTAAGTTTAAGGATAAAATTTTAATTAATAATTTTGTAAAAAATATTTTTTAGAATTAATATTTTGTACGTTAATTTAATTTTATATGTACCTGTCCTGTAATTTATACTATTATTATTTTGAACATTATATATTACTGTTTGTACTGCATGAATTATTATGACTGATAATTTTAATTAGGTGTTTGCCCGCATAGGCGAGCTTAATCAATCATCTTTAATTGTTTATTAAAACATGTATTATAAATTCAAAATTTAACACGATAAATTATTTTTTTATGTTCCCAAATAATTTAGTTGAACATCTAATCATTTATGTATAACAAAGTTTTTAATCAAAAGTATATGTTTATTTTTTTTGTTAATATTCATATATTATATATTATTGTGCTTCTCAGTTATTATTATTTTTGTTTGATTAGTACTTAATCATGCATCATTATGTTTTATTTATTTTTATGACTGAAAATATTATTTTGGATAAAACATGATATATATATATATATATATATATAAGATTTGTCTTATTATTTTTAAATACTTTTTTATTCTTAGCAAATTTTATTTTATTAATTTATCATCAATGATCTAATATAACATATAAGTTTAATATTATTAATATACATTTTTAATTATATTATAAATTATATATATAAGCTCATTAAAATTAAATATATAAATTTATTCCCATTTATTAATGGTAATAACGACTTTAACTCCTATAGCTTTCAACATGAGGACTCAGATGAAAAAAATTACTTCATAAATAATAATGTAGATAATTTTAGAAGCAATAAATTCATTAAAATATATTTTAGCGTTTTTTACATCATGATACACGTATAAATTTCAAGTTTATGGTTTACGATGCACATCATTTGCCTAAATCAGGCCCTTCATCGCTGATTTTTGCTTTCGCAAAATCTTTAACTTAATTCTGAAATACGTTCATCTATTTTCCGCGAACCACCTATCTATTATATTAAAAGAGGAGTTATGACTCACTTCATGTGTGATATTTTAGTTTAGACCACCTTTAGAGTTTTATAAAATTTTACATAACATTATAATATCTTTTTATATCTTTAATTTTTGTTTGAAATTCAAATAAATAGTTTTAATAAAATTCTAACAAAATCTTTTAGAATCTGTTTAAAGATATAGTTTCAAAAATTATTTGATTAAAATCTTAACTATCATAAAATATAATTAAAATTTTAATTTCCTTTTTAATTTATAAACAAAATTTAAAATTATGTAAAATACTTTTAACAATATCCCAAAATTTTGTTTATGTATTATGTAAGTCTAACTTAATTAATTTTTACATAGATTTCAAATTTAGAAATAAAACAATATATATAAATTAGTAAACTTACATAATAATGTTTTTAAAAAATGTTACAAAAATATCTTCTATTATATTAAAAGAGAAGTCATGACTCACTTCATGTGTGATATTTTAGTTTAGATCATCTTTAGAGTTTTATAAAATTTTACATAACATTATAATATCTTTTCATATCTTTAATTTTTGTTTGAAATACAAATAAATAGTTTTAATAAAATTCTAACAAAATCTTTTAAAATCTTTTAGAATCTTTTTAAAGATATAGTTTCAAAAATTATTTGATTAAAATTTTAACTATCAGAAAATATAATTAAAATTTTAATTCCTTTAGTTTTTATAAACAAAAAAAATAAAATTATGTAAAATACTTCTAACAATATCCAAAAATTTTGTTTATGTATTATGTAAGTCTAACTTAATTAATTTTTACATAGATTTCAAATTTAGAAATAAAAAATATATATATAAAATTAGTAATCTTACATAATAATGTTTTTAAAAAATGTTACAAAAATACAAATTTATAAATTTTATTTAATAATATTATAAATCATATAAAATTTATTATAAAATTGGATGGCATACATAATCAAATTATACTTATTTTTGATAAATTTTATTATATAATTTCAAATATTTTTGTATTAAAATACCCGCACGGTTGTGCGGGTTGAAATCTAGTGTAACGTTTAAAAGGAAATAGCTTCATGGGTCCTTTTATCTGTGAATGTTTATGAAAACCTTAGAATTTACTTTTTTCTATATTTTAAACTGTGTTAACGCATGATTTACAACTTCCAGTGAAATCGCTTGAAACCATTTTTATTGTAGGCTTTCTAAATAAATCATACACTATAAAATTAAATTATATAAAAATTGGGACATTCAAAGAATATCATGAAAATGTTTACAAATTTTCATCATTCAACCGAAGCATTATAACTACTGTTTGATCTTGGAAGGATTTGTGACAATTTAATAAATTAGAAATTATTTACACATTTTAATTTGCTAATGAGAAAGTCGACACAATCAGTTTCGTTTTTCCATCAAAACTATTTCAATAAAAGTCAGATGACAAAAACCTGTGAATGAATAGCTTTATTTTCATTCAGTAACAGAAAAAATAGTACAGAGTCATAATAACTTATTTATTTCCTTTTTGTGAATAAATTCTACAAATTTCTTCTTTTTCTTTTTTTTTTCTCTAGCCTGAAACCACTACCCTTTTATAATTTACATTCATAAAACACAATACTAATAACAAAGTTCTACAAAAAAAAGTGACATATGTTACCACCATTCCAAGAGAGAGGTAAAAAGACCTATGCCTAAGATGATTCAACAAGAAGTTCAGAAACTTCACTAGCTTCAGACCAAAGCTTTTGATTAAACACCATCTGAAGCTCATCAGGTATGAACTGCGTACGACAAAGCGGACACGTCATCTGACTATAATCCATAATCCAACGGTCCAGACATTCTTTATGGAATATATGACTGCAATTCGTCAGCCGTCGGATCTCATCGTCGTTTTCGAAATCGTAGAGACACACCGCACAACATTCGGATTCGGGCCGGTTTAGATCCGAGAATCTGACTACTGGCAAAATCTCTCCAGCTAGCAGCGCTGCTGAAAACATGTTAGAGTCTTGGTGGCTAGAGTTGGTGGAGTTTGGAGGTGGGTCGGGCCATGAAGATGAAAAAGGCTCCGGCTCTAAGAAGTCGGGTAAACCAATGAGCCAAAAAAGTGTGGATATTAGTTTTCGTATCAGACCTAAGAAAGAGAGTAAGTGAAGGAAGATTCTTGGGAGAAGGAGCTCGGAATAGCCCACCGGAAAACCCATTGCTTCACCGTTAGAGAGAGAAACTGTATAACAAAGAGAGAAGAAGAGAGAAAGAGAGAGATTTTGGATTGTGATGAATATAGATGGAGAGGGTAGGAATTATATATAGTTGCGTGTGTCTATGTATATATTAATGGTAGAGGTGATTAGTTAATTAATTATTGATTTGTTAACTAATAGCCAATAATAATGTGGTCTATTTAGCGTGTTTTTATTTGGTATATAATCATTTTGCTTGATGAAGGATATATCGAGGAATGTGGGGATGATGTTTCTTTAGGTTATAGTAATATATAGCTTTAACAAAAAAAAAAGTAATATATAAGACTAACTGAATTTAAAAAGTAAAAGAAGACTAATTGACTTGTTTTTGTTCCTATATAAAATAATAGAAACCAGAAATACTATGTATTAATGTAAATCTAGAATTACGACATCCAGAAATACGACATATAATTAAGGTAAAGACAGATCGTTAGGTTCATTTCATTCCAGTTTGTCTACACCTATATTGCATTAACTTGCTATATATTGGTTAATGTGATTTTTTTCACATCAATGTAACTTAAAAAAACTACTAAGAATGAAATTAGATGGAATTCTATAAAACTGCACCAGAAAATTTTAACTGGATGTTACATTCTGCCATGAACGAGGCAAAAATTATTTGATGAAATTAAAATTCATATCAAAATCAATGTTTGTATCTTCTCAAGTTCTCATGACTAGTTGAGATATCATGAATATATTATGACTATTATGAGTCTATTAGTATATTATGACTATTATGAGATATCATGAATATATAATGACTATTATGAACATACTCGTATTTACTATTATGAGTCTCTACTTGTTGACTTTGGCTAAATATTATGACTTAACTACGTAGAAAATTCTCTGAAGCTCTTCAAGTTTGATTTTGATTCTGTTTGTTTAATATACTTCTAGAATACAATATTATTCACTTATTTGGGGATTAATTTCTAGAGAGGAAAATCATATGGGTATCTGACTAAAATGCATGAAAGAGCCAAAGCAGCACTGACCCACCTCACACCCTCCCCATCTACTCCTCCAACATTTCACATTCCGCCATTTAACACTTCCTGTAACTATACACACACACACACACACACACACACACATATATATATATATATATGTATTAGTTTGTTTATGCATCTATGTAACTTCGCCAATTAATATTTCACTGGACAAAAGTCCCCAATTGATTGGATTTATATGTTTAATCAAGTAGTTGCTTTGTCAATAGTTATAGTGTACTTTGGAAAAATGGAATCCACCACATGGTAAAAGGTGTGAGAGGACAAAAAGTCACCAGGCTACTTGTCTCCCACGTACGTTTATGTACATCAAGTTTACCACACACTCATGTTTTTTATATATAGGAACAAGGGTTTAGAGAATAATAAAAAAGTGTCACTAACTGTCAGTTTTTGGCGTTAGTAAAGATATTTTAACAAATAAGCCAGCTAAATCCAGCCAAGATTAATCCCTTTTATCTTGCAATTAATTTAACAACAGATTTCGTTTAAGAAAATCAAGGACAAGTAATTTTTTTTTCAATTTTTATATACTAAAGAGGGGCTTAGTGTGTTACTTAAGAGCTGCAGTAAAATTATAGTTTAGACGGTCTCTACCGTAGCATTTACATCCATACAGATGTGTTTAGGTGTCAACAAAGCTTTAACGATCGTTGATGTGTGTGTACGTAGAAGATTGATCCATTTTTAGTGCACTATTTTTTTTTTTGTTAACTTACTTTTAAATCTACATGAAAATATCAAAACTCTAAAATGGAGGAAAATAAATAATATACAAATACGTAAGTATAATGTGTTCAAACTTGCTACACACTTCCTGTCCTCTCGTAGCCGGCGAGAGTAACTACTGATATATACTCTTTATGGATTGGATTATGATATCTGACTTCTTTAATTAACCTAGGGGTATTTCAAATGTATGAAATGACTTCAGATTAATTTCTAAAGAGATGTATATCTCACGGATAGATCATATTTCCGCAAAGAAACTATAAAAAGAGGTCTATATATGTGTGTCCGAAAATGTGAATTAGTTTCATATAGCAATATATCAAACATGTAACGTGTTTGCGTCGTAAATTCATCTCATTACCACTCGACCATATGGTCCTCTGAGTAAGATAGTTTGAGTTTCTCTCGTTTATTTTGTAAGTTCACACTAATCAATCTAGTTTCTAGAAGCCAAAAACTGTCAATATTTGCAATGATGGCTTGAACAAATTACTGAATTGATTTTGTAAAATGTTATTATGTAAAGATATAAGTTAATTTACAATGCATGTACAGAAATTGTCGTGTATAATTGTATTTTATGTACGGAGATTACTGTAGTGGCGACATGCTTTGCAGGATTTAAATTATTATAAGAAAGGGCACAGTAAACAAATAGTAGAAGAATTTTGCTTTTAAGTTTTAAAAGCAGAGTTAAACGTCTTTAACTTGAAACTTGTCTGCTAATTCGACGGAAAACTACAAAGTTCATTCCAGTTTTGCATGTCAGAGACTGTCGATTTGTCAGTAAGCGACCAACTAATCACACTAATTATATTAAGCAACCAGCTCAACCATAACTAAAGTATCCCAATATATAAACACCTCTCTTTGTTTATCAATTAAATACAACCAGTTCCGTAGTTATCCAGACTTAAACCCATAGATCATTGTTTATCTATTTTCTCAAATATATTTTGGTTTAGTTTATCCTTGTGTCAAACACTCGTAATATTTGTGCTTATTATATTTTTAGGGAAAAATTCATATAAATACTCCACCTAAATTTTGGTAAACTTTTTAATACTCAAATTCTTTACTATCTGGTTTAAAACTCAAACTAATTATTTTTCTTATTTTAAAATATTTATTTTAAGACTGTGCTCATTTTAATATCTAAAGTATTATGCTCATTAAAAAAAACCTTAAATTTAAAATCAAAATCTTAAAACTTTCTGAATCTATTTAAAGATATAAGAATAAAAGTAACTAAAACTTGGATATACTTTTAATAATTTAGAAAATTTACTTCTGAATAAAATAAATAAATTACTTATAAACTTTAAAAATAAACCAAATTTGAAAAACTATTATAATCTTTTAATATGATCCACAATTTACTTAATTTTATTCTAAAAACTTAAAAGAAAATAAAGAATTGTTAAGATTTGCTTTTGAATTTTAGAGATTTTTTAAATGAAACTTAAAAATATTTTTGATTAAAATCCTATTTTGACTATTAAATGAGCACAGATTTAAAAACACATGTATTACAATGAGAAAAATTAGTTTTGGTATCAACCCAGATAACATGAAAGTTAGAGTATTTTTATGATTTTTTTCTATTTTTAAAGACAGTTGAGCTATTCCGAAAATGAAATAAAACTGAGCTCTTTATTGTTACTATTTTATACTCTTATAATTAATTTTCTCAAGTGTGATTGACTTGGACCACGTGGTTTATTTCTTCCTGAATGCCTTTCCTTTTTTTTTTTGTTAAGAAGAATATAAAAACAAGTATTAATTTCTTTTGTTTAGGTCATCACTAGGCCGGGCATTTTAACCTGAACCTCAAAACCCGACCTGGAATCGATCCTAAAATATCCGATCCAAAGCGAAAATTTATAAGTACTTATTGGATCTAAATTTCTTTTATCCGGAAGAACCAGAACCGAAAAGAACCGATCCGAATAGATCCGGACTCGCAAAGAACCAACCCGAATAGACCCGGCCCGATAAGAACCGATTTGTACCTGACTTAAAAACATCTATATCCAAAACTATGATTTTTTGTATTCTATTTTATATATATTATTTTATGATTTAATTGAAATATTTTTGGTTAACAATATTTATTATTATTTCGTAACATTTTTGAAGCAATATGAAGCTTTAAAATGAAAATTTTTGAGTTTATAAATGTTTTATTTTAATTATTAATAGTTTTATTTAAGTTATTTTATTTTATTTTAGATATATATGACAAATATCGACTAAATTTGATGCAGTTAAATATGTCATGTTTTTTTAAGATCCTAAATATCCGAACCCGACCCGGATCAGATATAGACCCGGAAAATTATGGATATTTACCCGAAAAATTATGGATATTTTATGGGTATTTTAATTATAGACCCGAACCGACCTGGACCGGAGAAGAACCGACCCGAACCCAAACCAAAAATTTCTAAATACCCATTGGATTTAAATGTTTAAGACCCAAAAAATTCGGACCCGAAAAGAATTGGTTCCGAATTCGACCCGAAGATCCGAACGCCCAGGCCTAGTCATCACATTTCTACATAATACTTTATCATCCGCATTTTTCAGACCGTACAATTTGCCTGTGTGGACATGCTTTTATGGTTGGAGGGACACTTTCGTACATCTAATATTAGTAGTTGAAGAACCAATATGTAATATCTTTTCTTTTGAGGACTTCAATATGTAACATTTTGTTTTCTGTTAATTGATATGTAACATACTGCTCTGTATTAAAAGAAGATTATATTAAAAAGATGGAAGTACATATCTTATTAAAAGGATAAAATATCCAATGTAGTATAAAATATCTCACAAAAAACCTCTTTCTAGAATTCTCTCTACCTTCTCTCTAGAAGTTTACCATTGCGAACAGTGTGTCCGGCCAACGAATGGATTCCCCACAACCATCGTTGGTCCGGTATTTTGTTTTTTGTGTTTTTTTTTTGTGTTTGTTTTTATAGGAGGGAGAAGAATCGATGTCTCTTTTCCTTTCTGGGTTTAATTAGCTGTTTTTCCAGACTCTGGGATGGGGTGGCTTATAAAGCTCCACCGTCGCCGGCTTTAACTCTGGGGGTGAAGGCTACTATAGTCTTGCGTCGCCGACTCTTTGTGGTTTCAAAATTTCTATAGGGTGTGGTTATTTTCATGTGGTCATATTTGACTCTGTTGGATGGGATCCCGAATAGATCGGTTGATGCTCTCTGACAATAAAGATCTGGTGATGAAAAATAATGAGATGGAGG